AAAACCACCTGGGATGCCCCCCCCTTCCCTTCTCTCTAGACTTAATATGTGTTAGCCCCCACTCCCCCCACTTCTATTGAAAATTTGCGGATTTTTGTCTAGCCGTCTGCATGTGGTGGGACGGGCATAGGGGAACTTAAACATTATTGTATGATATTTCTAGGCTTTATGTGCTATCATATAATCATAAAGGTATCTTTTTCTGGTGCAGTCGGGGATTAGATTTTGCCTTATGCTGCACTTTTAATTGTTTAATGACAAAAAATAATTTAATTTTAAACTGTATTTGTTCTCTTTCTGTGATAAATTAATGAATCTGTGGAGTCCGTGGGAATCATCGGGTTGCTCCGTAAATGCTCGGAACTACGGAAAGAATAGAGGTATTGTCTCATAGAATGATAGAACAGAAATATCATTCAAAATAATTCTTAGATTTTGTCTAATCTTCCCTCCTATAGTTCTGTATTCTACCTAAGTGTCATGAAATCAAACTTGACTTTATCCATTCAAACTTTTTAACCTCCCACTTTACTTTCTCCACCTACACTCTTTCCCCGTTCTCCATAATTCCTTTCCACCCTTCTCCTCCTTTTTTCTCTCCTCCTTTTATCTCTCCTCCTTTTTTCTCTCACTTCTTCTCCACTTTTATTTTCTACTCCTTCTTCTCTCACTTCTCCTCCCCCTTTCTTATCCTTTCCTTTTTTCTCTCACTTCTCCTCCTTCTTTCTCCTCCTCTTTTCTTTTGAATGTCTTTTCCTATTTCCTTCACCTTCTATCTCCTCCACTTTCCTTCTCCTTCTCCTTTCTTTTCCCACTTCTCCCATCTTATCCCCCTTCTCCGCCACCTTCTATCTCCTCCTCCATTCTCCTCCCCCCCTCCCCCTCTGTTTTGTCTTTAAGGAAGAAAGAATAATAAAGGTATCAGATAAAGGCTAGGTTGCTAGATTAATGATTAAAGGATGAAAGGAAGAAAGTTCACAAATAATTATTTAATTAACCAGGAGACTCAGGAGATCTTAATTCTACACCTGAAGCCAGGAACCAGATGATTTTCGTCCCAAGGTTTGGATGACAAAGCAGGAAAAAAAGGTTGGTCTGCATGTAAATATGGGTGAAGGATAGCTCTGGATAAGGAATGAAGGATAGGTCTGGATGAAGAATGAAGGATAGGTTTGGATGAAGAATAAAAGACAGGTTTGGATGAAGAATGAAAGATAGGTCTGGATGAAGAATGAAGGCTAGGTCTGGATAAAGAATGAAAGATAGGTTTGGATAAAGAATGAAAGTTAAGTCTGGATGAAGAATGAAGGATAGGTCTGGATTAAGAATCAAAGATAGGTTTGGATGAAAAATGAAAGATAGGTCTGGATAAAGAATGAAAGATAAGTCTGGATGAAGAATGAAGGATAGGCCTGGATTAAGAATGAAAGATAGGTCTGGATGAAGAATGAAGGATAGGTCTGGATGAAGAATGCAGAATAGGCCTGAATGGAGAATGAAGGATAGGTCTGGATGGAGAATGAAGGATAGGTCTGGATAAAGAATGAAAGATAGGTCTGGATGAAGAATGAAAGATAGGTCTGGATGAAGAATGATGGATAGGTCTGGATGAAGAATGAAAGATAGGTCTGGATGAAGAATGAAGGAAAGGTCTGGATGAAGAATGAAAGATAGGTCTGGATGAAGAATGAAAGATTGGTCTGAATGAAGAATGAAAGATAGGTCTGGATAAAGAATGAAAGATAGGTCTGAATGAAGAATGAAAGATAGGTTTGGATGAAGAATGAAAGATAGGTCTCGATGAAGAATGAAAGATAGGTCTGGATGAAGAATGACGGATAGGTCTGGATGAAGAATGAAAAATAGGTCTGGATGAAGAATGAAGGAAAGGTCTGGATGAAGAAGGAAAGATTGGTCTGGATGAAGAATGAAAGATAGGCCTGGATGAAGAATGAAAGATAGGTCTGGATGAAGAATGAAGGATAGGTCTGGATGAAGAATGAAAGATAGGTCTGGATGAAGAATGAAAGATAAGTCTGGAACGGATGATTGCAAGGATGACTCTGCAAAACTATTGACGTGTCTGGATACCGGTTGCCGCTATTAAAAGAACAATTTATCAAATTTTGAAAATTTAAAAATAGTTTTCAAATATTAGGATCACCCTTGGAAAATACGAAATATATGAGAGGGTCAGAGATATCTTAGCAGATAAAATGTATAATAGTAGGTTTAGGATACAAACAGATATCAGATTCAGTTTAGGTTTAGGATACAAACAGATATCAGATTCAGTTTAGGTTTAGGATACAAACAGATATCAGATTCAGTTTAAGGTTAGGATATAAACAGATCAGATATAGTTTAGGGTTAGGATACAAACAGATATCAGATTCAGTTTAGGTTTAGGATACAAACAGATATCAGATTCAGTATAGGTTCAGGATACAAACAGATATCAGATTCAGTTTAGGTTCAGGATACAAAAAAATATCAGATACAGTTTAGGTTTAGGATACAAACAGATCAGATACAGTTTAGGTTTAGGATACAAACAGATATCAGATTCAGTTTAGGGTTAGGACATAAACAGATCAGATACAGTTTAGGGTAAGGATATAAACAGATATCAGATACAGTTTAGGTTTAGGATACAAAAAGATCAGATACAGTTTAGGTTTAGAATACAAACAGATCAGATGCAGTTTAGGTTTAGGACACAAACAGATATCAGATACAGTTTAGGTTTAGAATACAAACAGATCAGAAACAGTTCTAGAATACAAACAGATATCAGATTCAGTTTAGGTTTAGAATACAAACAGATCAGATACAGTTTAGGGTTAGGATACAAACAGATATCAGATACAGTTTAGGTTTAGAATACAAACAGATCAGATACAGTTTAGGCTAGAATACAAACAGATATCAGATTCAGTTTAGGTTTAGAATACAAACAGATCAGATACAGTTTAGGGTTAGGATACAAACAGATATCAGATACAGTTTAGGTTTAGAATACAAACAGATCAGATACAGTTTAGGTTCAGGATACAAACAGATATCAGATACAGTTTAAGGTTAGGATATAAACAGATCAGATATAGTTTAGGGTTAGGATACAAACAGATCAGATTCAGTTTAGGTTCAGGATACAAACAGATCAGATTTAGTTTACGTTCAGGATTTAGGATTTAGGATATTTTTTGGGAGGTTAGGGTAGTCAAGAAAGCATTCCAAATGGGGTTTGAATATTGTTAGCATGCAGTGTTCTAATACGGCATTCCAAATGGAATCTGTATATTGGTAGGATGTAGTGTTCTGATACGGCATTCCAAATGGAATCTGCATGCACAGTGAACATTGCACAGCGATCGGGACAAAGTCTTTCAAGTGGGTTCTCTGCATGCTGGCAAAATGCCTAGTGACCAAGATGCAGTATTCCAAGTGGGTTCTCTGCATACGGGCAAAATGCCTAGTGACCAAGATGCAGTATTCCAAGTGGGTTCTCTGCATGCTGGCAAAATGCCTAGTGACCAAGATGCAGAATTCCAAGTGGGTTCTCTGCATGCTGGCAAAATGCCTAGTGACCGTGATGCAGTATTCCAAGTGGGTTCTCTGCATGCTGGCAAAATGCCTAGGGACCAAGATGCAGTATTCCAAGTGGGTTCTCTGCATGCTGGCAAAATGCCTAGTGACCAAGATGCAGTATTCCAAGTGGGTTCTCTGCATGCTGGCAAAATGCCTAGTGACCAAGATGCAGTATTCCAAGTGGGTTCTCTGCATGCTGGCAAAATGCCTAGTGACCGTGATGCAGTATTCCAAGTGGGTTCTCTGCATACGGGCAAAATGCCTAGTGACCAAGATGCAGTATTCCAAGTGGGTTCTCTGCATACGGGCAAAATGCCTAGTGACCAAGATGCAGTATTCCAAGTGGGTTCTCTGCATACGGGCAAAATGCCTAGTGACCAAGATGCAGTATTCCAAGTGGGTTCTCTGCATACGGGCAAAATGCCTAGTGACCAAGATGCAGTATTCCAAGTGGGTTCTCTGCATACGGGCAAAATGCCTAGTGACCAAGATGCAGTATTCCAAGTGGGTTCTCTGCATACGGGCAAAATGCCTAGTGACCAAGATGCAGTATTCCAAGTGGGTTCTCTGCATACGGGCAAAATGCCTAGTGACCAAGATGCAGTATTCCAAGTGGGTTCTCNCTATATTTCCAACCCAGATGTAGACTACTGTTGTAAGATAGGAATTGGCAAAAGTGCAACTGAATGTTTTTGCAACGGTTTCCCCCAAATCAGATGAGTGCAATTAAAGGCAGATAAAAGCCAAGGTCAATAAATAATTGATCAATAGATGTATCAACAACAACTACCAAGGTTAATAGATTTGTTTACTTTCAGATCCAAGCTTTCCATCTTTATCAAACCAATAAACAGTAACCATCAATACCTATCCTGCACTATGCATCCACACTAGTCCAACTTTTTCCAACCTTATCCATTATCTCATAAGTCAAACTTTATTCATCACTAGTCTTATTTGTTAATTTTTTTGATCTTTTTATCCATATCTTATTTGTCTAAATCAATTTTCTTTTAATTTTCCAAGATTAAGTCAATTTTAACTTCATGTAGATTAGTCTAGAATCATCTAAAGCGAGACCAATTAGACTGTGGAGCAGAAAGGATTGTTGTTTTGATTCTAAATAGTTCAATGAAAATGAAGCACTTCAATTCTGCTGTTTATCAGTCACAATAAACTTATTCAGTTGATTTTCAAGCAAATAATAAAACTATTTGCTTTAAAACAACTCTAATACATTTAAGATTGATTAAATGTCATATTCCTATTCCACAGTTGTATGGGTCTCACTGTATTTCCAACCCATCCCATCTTCCTATATTTCCAACCCATCCCATCTTCCTATATTTCCAACCCATCCCATCTTACTATATTTCCAACCCATCCAATGGTCTTCTTATATTTCCTACCTGTATTGCATCAGTATAGGGAGTAGGAGAGTTTCCATCTACAAGAGTACTTGCAAACACTACTCCTCCAGGTTCTCCTCCAAGTACAGGGTTCCCTTCTCCAGGTTGTCTGCTAACCTGTGAGCTGAACCTGTTCCCTGGCAATACAGTTGTAGAGTTTGTGTTTATGTTTTCATAATTTAAATAATTGTCTGTTGAAGAGTTGGAATCACTATCTGACCAGATGATGCAGCGCAGCGGACTAAATGATACCATTACATTAAAATAAAGATTTTTTGTTAAACATATTTTTTCGTAAATATTTATAGTTAGAGACTAATCTGAAATGTGGGTCGGTTAATAAACATTTCGGAGAAAACGACAGAAAAGAACATGCTGTAGAAATCATTTGTTTAAAGGCCAAAAATATTCTGGTAAAACCTTAGATAAAGCAGTAAATTTTAGATAAAGCAGTAAATTGTTGAATTCTTATTAATGCTGACATTATTTTACAAAGATTTCCGTTCTAACAGTGGAAAAGTATATTTAGATTGGATGAGCTGGGACGGATTGAAGAGAGAGAGAGAGAGAGAGAGAGTAATTTTCCAGTCCATTATTTAGCCCTTTTCTTGGCCTCTTTAATAGTTTTTACTTTGGAATAAATAGGTTTTGGTTTGTAAACGTTAATTTAGTTCTGTAGTTTAGTGCACTTTACGACGTTTCATTCAATTCAACAGATTCCTCAGGTTCAAGATAAAGCTCAGGGTTCATTCAGAAGCTTTATCTTCTCAGGGCATATGCAGGTCCTGGTTTAGTCATGTTAAAAGAGATCTTAAGCGAAAAAATGGAGTAATTGTATTTTATCAGAATCATTTTTTCATAAAATAAAGTTTTTTTCGACCCAAGAAGGAAAAATGTAGAAAGAGAGGGAGAAGACAAACGAATGAGCGTGGAAAAGAAGGCAAATAGAAGGAGAGATACTAAGGAGAAAGATAAGGAAAAAAGAAGGAAGATTGGAGATGAAAGAGAAACAGAAAATGGTTAAAAGAAGGTTGGAAAAAGAAGAGGAAAGATGAAGTAAAGTGGGGAAAACAAGGAAAAGGGAGAAAAGAGAAGATAAAAAGAAGGGGGAACAAAAGAAAAGAGGAAATAGCAAGAAGAGAGAAGGAGGAGAATCTAAAGAAAAAAGGTGAATATCAAGAGAAAAAAATAATGCAAAGTAAAAGAAGGAAGACAGAAGAAAAGAAGAGAAGAGAAAAAAAGAGAAAAGGAGATATTAATTGAGAAATAGATATAAAAAGGGGAAAAGGGTAGAAAAGAAGACGAAGAGACAAGAAGAAGAGGAAAGAAAGAAAACAATTTTAAAAAGGAGAACTTCTAGTCATCACGTTTACAAGTTGTTTGATAAAAAGTTTACAAATTTATTATTGTAATTCTTTAAATTAACCAATCTTTTAAAAAAATAATGTGTAAAAAAGAATAAGCCAGAAGAAGATCTGATGTTTGCACTTGCGTACTGAATATTCATTCGCAAAAAAAGATTTACCTTATCAAACTTTTAAAATGAAAAGGACAACATCAATTAATCTAAATATAAGTTTTTAAAATCGTGTCAGAAGTCTTGTATTTCTTGTATTTCTCCCTCGAACATACCTGACAATGTACTTGCTAATATTTCTAGTATGTATGTCTGATGTAACAACTATGGTAAGGTTAGGTCCTATCAAGGCTAATTATACCTAATATTATCCTGGAGTGAGCCCTAATCAACCCCCCCCCCACTCCCAATCACAATAATTTATCCAGAATTAATAATTTCATACCTCATTAATACCCAATCTGGGGAACTCATGTATAATTATTTTGTACATAATTAGGCCGCACATGCTATTGATATGCTACATAAGCTAAATATATGTACATGTTATGAACATGATTAAGCTATAGATGAGTATATTGCACATTGCACAATCTAGGGTTGCACAATCTACAAGCATATTTAGAGTTTCCAACGCAAGTGGATTGGAAACCCTAGTTTAGATATATTGAATACATACAGTGAAAATCATAAAACTTTGAAATAGGAAGACGACTTTTAAACTCAAGTTATGATTTTAGATATTCCAATAAACATGAAACACAGCAATTGTGCAGTGTACACAGACACAATTCACTTGATAAGTTGATTTTCAATCTACTGGTAAACTATTTACAGGGTTATCCACAAAGGATGAGACTTCAGAGACGACTTTACATACATGAAAGATTGCTCAAATGTCGTCCACAGTTTCCACAGTTTACTTTATATTTTGTAAATATATATATATTAAAATTATGTCCTTTAAATAATAGTTTGATTGGTCCAAATATAAAATATTAACTTTATGATTTTAAATATTTGTCTGAGAGAAAATAAGGAAAAATGCTTCTTGTTTTAGTAATATTCCCGTACAAAAGGCAATCAAGGTGTTTACAATAAAGTTTCAAATCCAACCCAGGCCTACAATCTACATATTGGATTCATTGGTCTCAAATTAAACGATGTTTATAATATATATATACACTTTGGTAATCAATGCACCGGATACCCCCTTAGTGCGTATAGTGCGTATTTACAAGAAATTTTCTATATCCACTAATCTACCGATACGTCAATACATCTTACGCAATATTGCGTTGATAAATTGAGGTAAGCGTACATATTGTTATTACGCTTAGCCGGAAGAATGGGTTGGATTGATGGGCCTAAGGCGGGGGAGGGANGTATCCTATATGAATAAGTGTCTTGTATCCCCTGTATCCTATATGAATAAGTGTCTTGTATCCCCTGTATCCTATATGAATAAGTGTCTTGTATCCCCTGTATCCTATATGAATAAGTGTCTTGTATCCCCTGTATCCTATATGAATAAGTGTCTTGTATCCCCTGTATCCTATATGAATAAGTGTCTTGTATCCCCTGTATCCTATATGAATAAGTGTCTTGTATCCCCTGTATCCTATATGAATAAGTGTCTTGTATCCCCTGTATCCTATATGAATAAGTGTCTTGTATCCCCTGTATCCTATATGAATAAGTGTCTTGTATCCCCTGTATCCTATATGAATAAGTGTCTTGTATCCCCTGTATCCTATATGAATAAGTGTCTTGTATCCCCTGTATCCTATATGAATAAGTGTCTTGTATCCCCTGTATCCTATATGAATAAGTGTCTTGTATCCCCTGTATCCTATATGAATAAGTGTCTTGTATCCCCTGTATCCTATATGAATAAGTGTCTTGTATCCCCTGTATCCTATATGAATAAGTGTCTTGTATCCCCTGTATCCTATATGAATAAGTGTCTTGTATCCCCTGTATCCTATATGAATAAGTGTCTTGTATCCCCTGTATCCTATATGAATAAGTGTCTTGTATCCCCTGTATCCTATATGAATAAGTGTCTTGTATCCCCTGTATCCTATATGAATAAGTGTCTTGTATCCCCTGTATCCTATATGAATAAGTGTCTTGTATCCCCTGTATCCTATATGAATAAGTGTCTTGTATCCCCTGTATCCTATATGAATAAGTGTCTTGTATCCCCTGTATCCTATATGAATAAGTGTCTTGTATCCCCTGTATCCTATAAGAATAAGTGTCTTGTATCCCCTGTGTTCCGGAAATGACTGTTTATGAACTCAGTGGGATATTTCTTCAGAATAATACAATTCTAAAAGTTTAAGCAGTTAAATTAAAATTTAGAACTTTTAAAACATCCGAGTCATCCGTTCTTCATTTCTTCATTTCATCCTTCTTCAACTTTTATTCATTAATTGAATCCAACTCCATCAGCATCTTAAGCTCATATCAGTATGTAACAGAATACACGAAACCTTAGAAGAAAGAAAGGGGGTTTCTATGGTTTAAATTATATACTACAAGCCAAAAGGGTTTCCACACCTTGGATCACATGAGGGGAGGAAGGCCAACCACATCAATCTCTAGTCCGAACAACATTCTCATCATTTTCTCGTCCGAACCACATCGAAATCCTCGTCCTTTCAATATTATTTTTTTTAAGTGTCCGATCCTTGAAAATAAATACATTTTTAAAAAATATGGCGACGTTAGGGCATAGATGAAATATCAAATTTTCCCAATTAAATTTTAGATTTGTGTAAAAATGAAAATGCTCCATAAACAATGTTCTACAAAAAAGCGTCTGTATCTAGGGGGTTGGGAGGGGTTCAATGCGTCACTGACATATGCTATACGGATCAATATTTCATTGATTTTACGACGGGCCGTATTCAGAAGTTAATATAATAACTATCTACATGTATAATATACCTACTTACATTACTTTTACTTAGACAATTTCACCCTGGGTTATGTACAAGAATTTAACACATGTACAGAGTACATAGAGGATTGTATCGTGCTTGTAAATGGCTTTAATATAATGGTATTTTCCTGTGAAGAGAAGCCGTGGAAATCATCTCTCCCCTAACTCCAGTGTAGTACTGAGACGGTTCAGCTTCTCCTGCTGTCAAACCCAGCTCCAGTATACACTCTACACCCTGCAGCAAGTATTCTACACTACACGGAGAAATATCAGGCTTTCTACCTTGCTCTTCATCCGTTCTAGTCTATACCCTGAAGTATACTAGTCCTGTGCAAGTTTTCTTAATGATTTCTGTCCATTTCTAAAAATCATACAATCTTTCTTACGTAATTCAAAGATCTTCAAAGATTGCATTACTAAAATTTAGTCCCAAACTAAAACTAAATTATTTCAACACTAAAAATATTCTTAATAATACAAAAGTTCTTTAACTAATCGTACTCATATCCTGGAAAATTCGTTAGTAGTCTTACACTAAAGTCCCTTCTATAGTCCTAAACTAGTCGTACAATTCACTGGGACTATTTTCTAGTCCCATTCTTTTCTTTCAGTCCAATTCTAAGTCTTTTTTCAGTCGCAATAATATTCTTACATATTGCACTTTTGTAATAATGCTTCAAAAGTCTTTTAATAATTGTACCACACAAGTCCTATTATCCTTAAAATGGACCTAATAATCCTTATATCTTAGATATTTCAAACTATAAATTCTGTTAGATTGAAAAATCCAAGTTTAAAATATTAATATATCAGGTTGCAAATAAATAAGGATTAGAAAATGTAAGTTTGCGGCAAAGACTCAATTTCGTTGTACTAGTCCCAAAGTCATTTAGTTCAAGTATATTAGTCCTTTATAAGTTTCATAATTTGCCTATTTTATTCTTATGAATAAATCTTATCCAAAATTCCTATTCCTTCCTAGCTCTAATGAATCAATCTCTCGTTGTTCATAAAATTTATGTACAGCTGTTCTAAATTGATAAGAAAACGAAATTAATGAATATACATATATCCAGTTTTCTAACTTGAAAGTTGGCTTATTCGTGTTCATTTTCTCTTTGTTTTGAGCAACGCGACGGTTTATTTCTCAGACCTTTCTCTCTCTCTCTCTCTCTGGTATAGAAGAGCCTGAACTACGGCAGTATAAATTACTTGACTGACGCAGGGTCGGATAGTTTCCTCATTGGTCCAATATTTGGCGCGAACTCTTCTCATTGGTTCAAATTCGGGGTGAAAGTCAGGTTAAAAAACCACATAGCAAAACACTAAAGTGGGGCAAGATATTTTATAAAGGCAAGCGGTCACTGGTAAAATTGGTGCTTTTCCTATACATATAATATGTCTTGGAAAGTTGAACCTGTTTCCAGTGCCAATAATGAAGGTTTTTAGGACACACATCCTGTCCCAAATCTGACTGCAGTTGGACAATGGATATATTGTAGATTCGAATGTAAAAGATATTATTTAAGTCATTTTTGAAGTAGAATCCAGAAACAGGTGTGCGCAAAACTTTGACGTTTTTGAGCTACGTTCAAGCAGACAGATAATATTATATACGATTATGTATAGTACAAAAGAAAAAAACAAATAACTGGCAGTAAGTTTAAATTTTTTTAAATTAAGGCAGCAGTTTAGGGAGTTTAGGTCAATGACCTAAATTTGTATTTAAGATATTGCGTCATATTTTAGACATGAGGTTTGAACACATAAGATATTGAAATTTGTTGAAATTGTATAGGGCATTTAAATACTATAAAACTTAAAGATAACTGTCCCATGAATATGTGTCTTNTGGGTTAGAGATATGACTTACAATTTTTATATGATTAAATACTGTTTGAATTCATAGGGTTGTGACCAATTAATTGTAGCAAATGATTTGAATAATATAAATTGAACATTATTTTTTCTATAATTTTAAGCATGCGGCAGGCAGTAGTGATCTCTTAGTGGGGACAACAAATCTACCTTATTTGTAAATAAATCAGAAATCAATGATTATTTTGTATGGGTTGAAATGGAAAGATTAAAGACCATGTTCACGCGAATTCTTTGGTATAAATTTTTATTTGTGAAAGTTATCCATTTTGGAGGCAGAAGAGATTCAATTTTTAACCTAAATAATGTTTGACATCATTCTCGTGGATTTGAAGATTCCAACATCTCAAAATCCTTGGAAAACTTTATTCTAGTCATGTTTTATGCCCTAACGTCGCCATATTTTTAAAAAATGTATTTATTTTCAAGGATCGGACACTTTAAAAAAATAATATTGAAAGGACGAGGATTTCGATGTGGTTCGGACGAGAAAATGATGAGAATGTGGTTCGGACTAGAGATTGATGTGGTTGGCCTTCCTCCCCTCATCACATAGATCAGGACTGCTATACAAAATTGCATAAATGTTCAATACCGGGTCGACTTTAGCGTGTCTCAGCCTTTGATTTTACCTTATTAAATAATTTTTGTTCCGATGGGTGGAAATACGAGGTTTAGAGAAAACTACGTATTTTTATAAATAATTTATCGTTCACAGAATAATCATCAGGTCTTTAGATTAAGTTCAAAATAAGTTTCAAGTTGACTTAGGGCCAAATACTTTTTGCCTTTTGATAAACCCTAATAGGACCTAAATGAAGATATATTTATCTCAAAGGTTTATTAGAAATGAGTTTCTAGACAATCTTAATGTTTCTTAAAGAATCTGGTAAGTGAGTTTATTACCGCTAAACCTGTCTCTGGGTATGTGAGTGAGTTCTAGAGCTCTCTAGACCACCTGGATTCTCCAGAGGTACCGTTCCATATACAGCCACCAATATAATTATTTTCAAAACATCAACCATGGAACTGCCTAAAGAAATGAGAAAGGGTGAAAGAGATCAGGTTTACTCATTTAACATTTTTAGCGAATATTTAAAGGGTATAAAGATGAGCTCGGAGCAAGACTATCCCAATTCAATCTCAGACAAAGAAAAAAGTTCCGGAGCAGTAAAATCTTTTAATTATTCTTAATTACGAAATAATATACACAGTCATACCTTAGGGGTAGGATTAGGACGTGTAGAGAAGACGGGACGGAGAAACTTGGTGAGGTAGTAGAGAAGAAAAAAGGACGGGTAAATGAGGACGGATAAAGAAGAATGTGTAAAAAAAACAGGACGAAGAAATTAGAGAGTAGAGAAGAAAAAGGACGGGTAAATGAGTATTGATAAAGAAGGACGTGTAGAGAAGACTGGACGGAAAAACTGGGCGAGAAGAAAAAAAGGACGGGTAAAGAACTATGTGTAGAAAAGACGGGACGGAGAAGCTAGGTAAGAAGAGAAGAAAAATGGACTGCTAAATGAGGACAGATAAATTAGGACGTGTAGAGAATAATGGACGGAGAAACTAGGTGAATAGAGAAGAGGACGAATAAATGAGGATTGATAAAGAACGATGTATAAAGAAGATGGGACGGAGAAACTAGGGGAATAGAGAAGAGCACGGGTAAATAAGGATTGATAAAGAACGATGTGCAGAGAAGACTTGAAGGAGAGACTAGTTAACTAGTTAAACTATATGTAGGGAAAACTATATTAGGACGGATAATCCGGAACACATGCATACATGCATATAAATAGATAAATTATAATGTAGCGTTTACATAAAACTATAATTAATAATAAAATTGAAAAAAATTTAAGAAAATATCAAATATTTTTAAATTATTGTTTTAGGTTTACAGACTGTTTTAATTTTGAATTAGTACAGATAAAGGTTTAATCCACCCTAAATCTTAATCTTAACAACTATAAATGTCCCGCCCCTCCCCCCCTCTCCCTCTCTCTCCTTTGGACCGACCTACCCCAATAGTTCACCCAGAACCTTTACTTTACAGTTCATATTGAATATTGATATACATTATACATTATACATTTGGACATTATTCAATCCCTCCCCCTACCCGACCCGGCCTCTTTTAAGGGCATATTAATGCCAATCTTTGGAAAATGAGATCATAAACGCGCTTTTTGTTATCATTTTTATTACCAGTGTGTACTAAATGTTCTATTTTAAAATCGAATCTTTTTAATTCTGTGTTTTTTTTCGAAACTATACATGACTGATACTCACCCGGCCGTACTAAAATTTCTTAAAATAAATTCTATTTTAATCTTCAGAATTGCAAAAATAGGCCCAGGACAACAATTTACGAAAACATTCCAGAGTTTGAGATTGTTCCGTCCAAATACCTCTAGTCTGGTTCAACCAGATAATCCGTCAAAATATATATTTTTAAACATTTTTCTTCTTGTCCTGCCGAAAGGTAGTAGTCATATGGTTTATGTAACAGGGCGTTCCAAAATATTTTTTCAAAATTTTTCAAAATGAAAGGGACAGACCGGCTATGTAAGGAAGTTAAACTGAGTATGCAGTGTTGTGGACAAATTCTTTAGGATTCATTTAGGAAGTATAACACTTTTTAAAGATCTGTAAATCATGAGTTTGAGCGCAGAGTCGGCGTTCAAAATACGTTTCAGAATTGTTTTTTTTTTAAATTATTAAATAACGACGAAAAAAAAATGTAAACAAAATTCTACAGTAAACTAATTACTTGTTTAGGAACAGGATAATGATTAATCTCATCCTCGAAAATAAGTAATCTTATCAAATTATTAGTTTCCATAATCTCTCAATTATTCACAAAGATTTTCTGCAGATTTTCTGGAATATTTATTGAAAAGACGACATTTGATGAATTTGTAAAAATAAATTCATAGAAAATAAGAAGTTCAATATAATGATGAAAACGAAATAATTGATTCTAGCATTGATTTACTGACAAATTTCTTTTGAGAAATATGTTCCTAACCATCTAATTAGTTTAATGTATAATTTTTACTTTATTTTTCGTCGTCGTTATTTAATAATTAAAAAAAACTGATTCTGAAAACGTTCCCACTCAAATTCATGATTTTGAACGTCGACTATGCACTCAAACTCAGTAATTATACATCGTGAAAACGTTTTATATGTCTCAAATCAATCCTAAAGAATTTGTCTACAACACTGCATATTCAGTTTAACTACCTTACATAGCCGGTCTGTCCCTTTAAATCTTCTCATGATATATCGTTATATATATTATAATGATTTTCCCTCTCCTACTACTCAAGAGTTACATAGATTAGGAATGGTTATAAACTGTTTGTCCATACTACTCTAGGTGCTTTTATCAGGAATGGTT